AATCACAGGGACCGCGGTTCAATCCCCCAGCACCACATGCCAGCCAGCCGCGCCCCCTGGTGGGCTGAGCTGGCCACACACATAAATAAATAAATTAAAAAAAAAAAAAAGAATAGTAGTGTCACCATGTGATATTGCATTTCTGGCTGAGCTTAGCCATTACTTTTCCCCTCTGAAGACCGTTACTAACTTCATTACAGTCCTGGGAGTTCTGTCACCTGTTTCCATATTAGAGAAAGGTGTTACCCTTTGGCCCTCTATCCTTTGCCTGTGACCTGTTGTCTGTTTTGTCTTGGAAATTCTTTGGGGCTTCCACTCTCTCAGTAAATCTTGAGATTTTCCATTGTCCAGTACTGATACTATAATCTGCCTTTGGAAAGGGAGAGAGAAGGGTGCTGCTGGCTGAATGGTCAGGGGAGGAGAATGAGAGTAACTGTTTTATACAGTTTCATCTAGTCTCCACAAGGTAGATAGATAATCTACCATGAACAGAATTAGGAGCTGCACTTTGGTCCTCAGCTGCAAAGATGCTAGGAGGACCAAGCAACATTTGTTTTGTTTATTTTTAATTTTATCAGTACATGTTTTCAGTTTTTTTTTTCAGTTCTTTTTTAATTTTCAAGTGCACACCTTTTTTTTTCTGGTTTATGGAATCCCTACCCCATATTTGTCTAGCCACAAACTCCCCCGTTTCTTTTGTGACTTTGTATATCCAACCTAGATTGCATGGTCACTTGTTTTACCCATTTTCTTTCCAGTGTCTTGAATTCTCTGGTCCTACTGTCTTCCCACCCAATCCAACTGGCAAAACCCCCATCCACCTGGCTCCTCTTTGTCACATCAGATTCACCAGGTCTGGTGGATGCTACTAGGCAAAATGATATACTGAAGCAAGGTGTGGTGTGTATGCCTCCGATCCCAACACTCTGGGAGGCTGAGGCAAGAGGATCAGAAGTTCCAGCCTAATCTGGAAGATTTAGCAATTTAGCAAGACCCTGCCCTAGAATAAAGAAATAAAAAGGGGCTAGTGATATAGCTCAGTGCAGAAACCCTTGGTTCAGCCCCTAGCACTGAAAAATAAATAAAAAAGCAAAATACATAAATTTTCAAACTGGGACTGGGGAGATGGCTCAGTGGAATAAACGCTTCCCTGGCAAGCACAAGGACCTGAGTTCAATCCCTGGTTCTGCCATAAATAAATAAATAAATAAATAAAATTTCAAACTGGTATCACTCTCAGTTCGTGGTCTGTGCACTCATTCTAATTAAACACAGCAGATTAAATATATAACATCTGCCACCACTCCTCCTAAAGGTTCACAAAGATTATACCAGTAAGAGTTTAAATCCAGAAAAATAAGGCAAATGAGAAAAGAGACAAGAGGTGAGAGAGCAGTCAGTAATCACTGAAGACAGAAGACAGAGGAAAAGTGGCAACTGGTTTGGTCAACAACAGAAAGTCCAGGCTGGTACAGTGTGTCTGCAGAATGCCAGCAGGAGACAAGCTTGTGCTTCGGGAAGATGCCCAACAGGATCAGGAAGGAAAGTAGGAGTCCTCTTGGAGGGTAGCAGCAGGGCACAGCCAAATACACAGGCAGCTGAGTGCGAGGCAGCAGAGAGGGCTGGTTAGAAGCCTCAGGGCCAGGCACACTCCAGTCAGCCCAGCTCCATTGTGTACTGGCTGTGTGACTTGGACAAACTATGTGGTATCTCTTGACAGTCAGTTTCCTCCTTTAAGTGCTAGTAGGAAGTTGACCCTAAAGAGTTGTGAAGGTTAGCAGAATGTATTTTAAGTACAGAGGGTGTCATGTGGTAAGGACTGAAGGGGGACTTATTTTTTGTTTGTTTTTGCAATTCTGAAGATGAAACCCAGGGCCTCACACAAGCTAGGCAAGCTTTCCATCACTAAACTGTATCCCAGCGAACTTAGAACCACGAACTGAGAGTGATACCAGTTATTTTTGTGGTGGTGAAGATTGAACCCAGGGCCTTTGCACTGAGTTACATCTCCAGACCTGTTTAAATTTTTTTAAAAAAAATTTATTGAGAAAAAAATTGCAGTGAGACAGTTTCAAAACAGGTTGGTAGGAGAGTTACAACAATTAATACATTGCACATTGTTGTCTTTGTAGTAGTCATTCATAGCTCAAGATGCCAGCATGATATCCTGCCAAAGCTGTTTAAATTTTGATATAGGGTCTCACTAAGTCTCTAAGTTTACTTGCCTGGGCTCTATCTTGCAATCCTCCTTCCTCAGGCTCCTACAGTACTGGGATTTTAGTCTTACTCTACCATGCCTGGTGTATTTTTATCTTTTTCATGGTACTAAGGACTGAACCCAGAGATGCTCTCCCACTGAGCAATATCACCATCCAAAATATTTATTATTTCAAGACAAGGATGGCCTTGAACTCACAAAGTTGCCCAGGCTGGTCTTGAACTCGTTGTCCTCTGGCCTCAGCCTCCTGAATAGCTGGTATTACACATATGTGCCACTATAGTGGCTCCACACAGGACAATTTGTATTAGTCTCTTTTAAAACAACAACAAAAAAAAACTTTTAAAAAATTTTCTTTATTTGGTACAGGGTCTCATCATACAGTTTGGACTCATCCTGATCTGGTGGCCAGCATGGTGCGCCCAGGGTTCTGGGGCCAGCACAGCATGTGATACTGGGAATCGAACCCAGGTCTTTGTGCTTGTCAGGCAGACACTTAGACCACTGAGCTATCTCCCCAGCCCTGTAGTAGCCTCTTTTTTTTTTTTTTTTTTTTTTTTTGCAGAATCGGGGATTGAACTCAGATCCTTGTGTTTGCCAGTCAAGCGCTTATCCTACTGAGCCGTCTCCCTGGCCCTGTATTAGCCTCTTGACTTCTACCATCATCAGAGGCACTGGCTTGATTGCTTGGGAAGGACTGGCTCCTCCATTGTCAGGGCCCTGGTTGGTACTGTGGTTCTCAAACCCACTTATTCAGGAAATGTCTAAGGATTAGACACCAGACTTCCTTGAGCTTGTGTTTCCACCTGGCGTGAGTCCCCGTAGCTATTGCCAGCGGACTATGTCTGAGCAGCCGTCTGTTCTGGATTCTCTTCTCTTGGGCAGGGTCCTCCAGACCTGGGGTTTGCCTCCCAGTGGCCCCATCCCTGGTGGTAGGTGGAGCCTGTCACAAGGCTCAGCTATCCCTGACTCTCACATCTGCTTTTCCTGTGTGTGGCATCAGAACTCCAGGCCTAACTTTCCCCCATGACGATCTGTAGTCTCAGAAAGCCTCCATTTGGACAATTTTTCCAAGAAATCACTGTTGTTTTTTTTTTCCCATTTAGTTTCTTTTTTCTGGGTCCATATTTCAGGGGTATGATTCTCCCAATCCACCCAGGCACAAAATTCCAAGGTCATCTTTGACTCTTTTTTTCTTTTGCAAAATAGATTCTAAAACTGTTGCCTGTGAGCCAAATCTGGTGGCGCACACCTGTAATCCCATCATTTGACTGAGGTGGAAGGATTGCCACAAGTTTCAGGCCAGCCTGGGCTACACAGTGAGTTCAGGACCCTCCTGGACTACATAGTGAGACCCTGTCCCTAAAAAAAAAGAACAAAGAACAGAAAACAAACAAAAATACCCACTGCCCGAAGTGCATTGCAGGGAATGACCAAGCCTGCAGCTGCAGGGTCCCATGTGTGCTATCTGACCACCTGGCCCTTATGCACGTGTGGATCACCTCTTGCCTGTTAATTCTCCTATATTCTCTGCTGTAAAGCAGCTTCTGAAAGCATCAATTTGATTGCATTATTCTTTTTTTTATTTTTTTTTAAATTTTTTTTTTATTTTTATTTGAGAGAGAGAGAGAGAGAGAGGGGTGTGTGTGTGTGTGTGTGTGTGTGTGTGGCCAGCTCAGCCCACCAGGGGGCGGGGCTGGCTGGCATGTGGTGCTGGGGGATTGAACCGCGGTCCCTGATGCCTTGCCAAGCTTGTTCTAAGTAGGTGCTTTAGACCACTGAGCCATCTCTCCAGCCCCTGATTGCATTATTCTTTACCACAGAATCTTTTCAGTGACTCCCCATTCTCTGTAGGTTGAAATCTGGATTCTTTGGGCTGGCTGGTATTCAAGACTCACCACAGTCTCACGCAGCTCTGCCGACTCTGCATCAGCTTCCATATTCCCACCAGTGGCGCCTTCACTGACCCCAGGACCAGCTTTCCCCTCTTGCCTTGTAAGGTTATGGAAGACCTCTCTGCCGTGCACACTCCTCTCTTCCCTTCCACCTACTGGCTCACTTCCATCCTGCTAGGGGTCTCCCTCGGTCTTCAGCTTCCTAGGCCTCTTTTCCTGAATTCTGAGGACACAGGGTCTGCATCCAGTTCTTCTCGGTCTGTAACTGCCTTGTATGTGCCTATGTCCTCGAGAGACAGGAGCACTTGTTGCCAGCTTGGATGGTCCAGGATTTGTGTAACAAAACCCTCCATTTGACTGTCTTTCCTTTGGGCTCTGGGAGAGAGCCTTAGAAGTCAGGACAATTATGAAGATCTGGGGTTGGGATGCAAAGGACATTGGCCTCTAAGGACTGCTGAGCCATTTTATCTCCTTGTCTCAGGCTCCCTCCCCACGCCTCCCCACCATGTCCTGGGCCAGCTGCTTTACCTTGTCCCTCCACACATCTCAGGTGCCAGGATTCATGGTGGCAGTCCCCTCTTCTGTGCTGCACATGGGTTCCCTGCCTCCTCAACTGTGAGGTTAATGTGCCACCTGTCCTTTTTTTGCCTTTCTTTTATTCCTTTCTCTTCTGTCAGCTAATGATTTCCAGGACTTTAACTGGTTGTCCTTGTCCCAAGTCTGTGAAAGTTCTCCTGTGGGCAAGGGTCATGAGCATTAAGCTGTGGCCACGTGACAGCTAGCTTTTCCTCACTTCCTCTGCTATCTAGTCTGGAAAGCTTATTGTGTACCTGGCCTGAACAGAAACTGAGCAAAAAGGTAAGCTTCTCCTCACTTCCTCAAGAAGACAGCGCTGCTCAGGCCACCTGCTCGGCATTAGCTGCCTTCTCTCTCCCTGCTGTTTCCACTGGCTTTCCTCTGGATTGTCACTTGCACTTATCTGTGCCCTGAAGGGCAGGACTCAGCTGCAGGCTCAGTGCCTGGCCTGTGGGGTGGAGGGTCTTGCTGTTTAGATCCAGTCTGAGTAGGGAGTGATTCTTGCTCTGCAGACAGATTTTATCCTAATGGCTGACTCGAAACCACTGCCCTCCCTTGATGGGGACCCGAAGGCTGCGGAGGACTGGCTTCGTGATGTATTTGAGATCATTGTGGACGAGGCCATTCAGAAAGGGACAAAGGCTTCTGAGAAGGTATGTCCTTTCTGCCTCCTCCCTCTGCACATCAAGCCCTTTCTCTTGTAGACCTGGCTTAGAACTTCCATCCTTGGATAAGGCTGTGCCCCAGAATTTACCCCTCTCCGTGTGTCTCAGGAATTTATATCCTGAGTCTTATGTTTATTTACCCCCCTGTTATACATTACCTTGATCATGTTCTTGAATTGTTTTAAGTGCAAATTGGTGACGTCTTGTGTCTGTTGAGCAGCAGTTGGGGTAGCCACTCTCCAATGTGTGAGGTCTCTGCATCCCTGGCTCCTTCTCCTAGGTCTGCGAGTGGAAGGAGCCTGAGGAGCTGAAGCGGCTGCTGGATTTGGAGCTGCAGAGCTGCGGGGAGGCACAGGAGAGGCTCCTGGAGCGTTGTCGGGCTGTGATTCACTACAGTGTCAAGACCGGTACGCTGTGGGTTCTGGCTGGAGGATTCTGGTGTCTGCACCCAGCTCCATGCTGAGTGCCCTGCCCCACCACTCCTCCAGGTCACCCACGGTTCTTCAACCAGCTCTTCTCAGGGTTGGACCCCCACGCTCTGGCCGGGCGCTTTATCACTGAGAGCCTCAACACCAGCCAGTGAGCCACCCCAAAGCCCCTCTTTCTATCCTGCAGAGGACTCAGGTTTGCTGGGAGGTGGCTTCGGTAAGAGAGGAGATTGGTTTTTGCTCCTCTCTGCCATTTTCTGGGAATGCTTGCTGGTAGTCTTTCCCTCCTGCCCTTTGAGCTTCCTTTTTTCACATTTTTTTCTGGCCTCCTGAGTTTTCCTCATCTGTGCTTGCCTCCTCCTCCTTTTTTTTTTAAATTCCTCTGTATTCCCAAATGAGTGACTTTTTTTTCTGCAGTTTTGGGTTGCAACAAGTTGCAGTCCTCTCTGCCCCGCCTGTTAGCCTCTGAGTTGAGGTGACCCCTGCTCCAGAGGCCCCTCTCTCTGTCTGTAAACCCTGACCATGGCAGCTTTCCAAGCTAGCGTGGGTCCTCACTTATGTTGGTAAATGGGGAAGCAGACCACTGGTCTTCACTGGACCTAGGCAGCGGGGCAGAGGCTCAGTGTCTGTCGCCTTCAGATCCAGCTATCTCTGAGAGGCACACCTGCTGGGCTGGGCCTAGCACAGAGCACACTTGCTTATTTGTCACCAGCATGTTCTCACTGGTACTCTTCTTTCGCTTCTCAGCATCTCCCTCTCTGACTCTTGTAATGGAAGGGTCTGGTCTGGAAGCCCCCGTGTCTCTTTGCCTTTCTCATTAGGGCTCTTCTGGCAGGTACACATATGAGATCAGCCCCGTGTTTGTACTCATGGAAGAGGAGGTGCTGAAGAAACTCCGGGCCCTGGTGGGCTGGAGCTCTGGGGATGGGGTCTTCTGCCCTGGTATGTGAGAAGGAAGGGGCCTTTCTTAGGGCTCCTCCTCCCCATGGTGCTCTTGCTTTAAGCAGTAGGCAGGGAACAGTGATCTCTCTCTCTCTCTCTCTCTCTCTCTCTCTCTCTCTCTCTCCCCCTCCCTCTTCCCTCCCTCCCTCTCTCCCCCTGGGCCCAAAGCCATGCCACAGTACACTGGCCAGTCCCCTTTATCCAACAGCCACTGGCATGCACACTTGAGTACCTTCTCTCAGGGTGGAGATTGTGGAGTGTCTCCTGGGGTGGCGCTGGGGTGGTCAGCAGGACCTGCTGATCTTGGGCCATTGTGGGTTACTGTGCATTTCTACAGCCCTGGGATTCACAGCTGGGGAGTCAGTCACTCTGCATCTTTAATCTGTGTGTGAGCCCAGTCCTGATTCATCCCTGCCCCCTTTTGCCATCACCTCCCCCTGTGACAGGTGGCTCCATTTCTAACATGTATGCCATAAACCTGGCCCGCTATCAGCGCTACCCAGATTGCAAGCAGAAGGGCCTCCAGGCGCTGCCACCCTTGGCCATCTTCACATCAAAGGAGGTGGGGAAGAACAGAGGTACAACCCAGGGCCCCAATTCTAATCATGAGCCAGCTCAGTCACAGACCCTTCAGGTCTTCCTTCTGCCCCTTCTGTCCCTGAGTGGATGTGTTTCCTTCCAGTCAGGGAGGCCGTGTACACTCGCATGGTTGTCTTGCCTTCGGGTGGGGAAGGCCAGTGGAGTCAGCCCACTCTTCCTGTTCAGAGAGTAGTCCCTGACTGTTGGCATTAGTGCTGTGTGGGAGCTTCTTGGAGATGCGGAATCTCAGGCCCACCAGACCTCATTGCGCACATGCACGTTTGCCAGCCACGCAGGCACTTTGTGCACATGCACATTTGAGAAGACCTGGCCTGCAGGTCTACTCCAGCTTAACATTTAATTTTTCTCAATTTCTCCCTTCCCCACTGTCCATGCCTTCTGACCCTTGGCCCAGGTCTTGCTAACCTGCCCTCTGTATTCTTCTCCAGTGTCATTACTCCATCAACAAGGGAGCTGCTTTTCTGGGACTTGGTACTGACAGTGTTCGAGTGGTCAAGGCTGATGAGAGGTAAAGGTCCTAATGCCAACATAACCCTGACCCTCCTTGACAAAGTACACCATCCTGTTTCCAGGAAACTCTGGCCTCAGGCCAGGCATCCTTGGGGCCTTCTCTTCCTGCAGAATTGCTATTCCTGTCTCCCAGTGCCCGACAGTCTCCCCCTACCCTTGTGCCCTGGCATCTGTTCCACCCCTCTTAGCAATGATCAGCATGAAGGCCCTGGGTTGCTGACCCATTCTTGCCCTGCCTTCTTCAGGGTGATGCCTGGTACTAGGGGGCCTGTGCCTTCTCTGCTCACTCAAGTTTCTTTTTCAGAGGAAAAATGATCTCTGAGGACTTGGAAAGGCAGATCAACCTGGCAGAAGCTGAGGTGGGTGGGCGAGCCGTAGTGGGGTGGTGTAGGGTGCCTGGAGGGCTATTGGGGCTCCCCTCTGTCTCCAAGCCTCAGTTGAAGCCTGAGGGGTCAGGCCGTGGGTCTTGGTCAGGGACCCTGCTGAGATATGGGTCACAGTTGGTAGGTGGATTGTGAAGGGCACTGAGTGCAGAGGGAGTCCAGCACACCGCAGGAGGAGGGAGAGCCTGAGCACAGTGTGGACGGTTTCTGTGGGCTGGGGGTCTGTGTGGGCAGATGCGGAGGGGGATGTGAGCAGCATAGGGTGGGAGAGGGTGGGGACCCGCACACTGAACTCGACTGAGTGGGCTGCATAAGCTGCTGTAGCCATTAGGAGGATGGTGTAGCGCTGTCTGTACTTAATTTTTGGTGGTGGTATTGAGAATTGAACCCAGGGCCTCACCTGTGCTGGGCAAGCCCTGTACCACTGGGCCACATAACCAGCCCCTGGTTTACATTTCTCTAATGATTAGTGGTGTTGAGCATCTTAGCACTTGTGTATTAGGCATTTGTATATCTTTGGAGATTTTTTTTTTAATTTTTATGTGTGTGTGTGTGTGTGTGTGTGTGTGTGTGTGTGTGGCCAGCTCAGCCCACCAGGGGGTGGGGCTGGCTGGCATGTGGTACTGGGGGATTGAACCGCAGTCCCTGTGCTTTGCTAAGCTTGTTCTAAGTAGGAGCTTTAGATCACTGAGCCATCTGACCAGCCCCTGGAGATTTTTTTTTTTTTTAAGACAGGGTCTTGCTATGAAGTTTGGGCTGGCCTTGTGCTCACTTTGTAGCCCCAGACTGGTCTCGAATTTGTAGTGATCTTCTTACCTCAGCCTCCCGAGTGCTGGGATTATAAGCCTGCACCACCATGCCCTGTTCTGGAGAATGTTTATTAAGACTCTTTCCCCAGTATTTCAAATTAGGCTTTTAAAATTATTATTGACTTGTAAAGAGTTCTCAATATATTCTAGATAGATGTGCCTTATCAGATATGTGACTTGCAGACCTCTTTCTCTGTTCTATAGATTATCTTTTTACTTCCATGATGGTGTTCTTAGAATCACAAGTTTTAAATTTTGATGAAGTTCAGCTTTTCTATTTTTCCCCTTTGATTGCTGTGGTTCTGGTATCATCTCTAACCTAACTCAGGCTCACAAAGACTAACCCCTGTGTTTTCTTCTAAGAGTTTTAGACTTCATTTTGGTTCTTACATTTAGGTCTTTGATGTATTATGACTTAATTTTGGGGTATGATGCGAAAAAGGAATTCAGCTTCATTCTGTGGATGTAGATATCCACATTTCCCATAACCTTGGGTTGAAAAGATTGTTCTTTCAGAGAATTTTTTTCCCTATGCTTGTTGAAAATCAGTAGACTGGACTAGAAGTGTAGTTTGTGATATAGTGCTTGCATTAGATCTAGGATTATTCCTGGCATGAAAAAGAAAATAAGAACAAACACAATCAATTGCCTGTGACTGTGAGGATTTATTTCTGGTTCTTGATGTTTTTAAAATTATTTTATTTTATTTACTTATTTATTTATTTTTGTGGAGCCAGGGATTGAACTCAGGTACCTTGCCAGGAAAATGCTTATTCAACTGAGCCATCTCCCCCGCTCCCCCTTGAGGTAAATCAATCGTTTTTTTTCCTTTTTTTTTTTCTCCGAATGCCTTCAGGATAGGTTTGGCTGGCTTGAGTTGTGGGGATCGAACCACAGCAACCTGAGCCTGACTGCTTTGTTGAAGCAGCCCTTAAAGAACTGAGCTAAGGGGCAGGCCCCCTATCATTTTCTTTCTTTTTTCTTTTTCTTTTTTTTTTTTTTTTTTTTTTTTTTTTTGGTGGAACCCAGGATTGAACTTAGGCCCTTGCGCTTGCCAGGGAAGCGCTTATTCCACTGAGCCATCTCCTCAGCTCCAATCTATCATTTTACATGAATGTCCTTAACATTGGCTGGATCACTGGAGCTTTGTAATAAGCTTTGAAATTGGAAGGTGTAAATTCTCAGCTTTGTACTTTTTAAGGATGGCTTTGGCCATACTGGGTCTCTTGAATTTCCAAATGAATTTCGGATCTTCTCCTTCTTCTCCTTTTTCTTCTCCTCCTTCTCTTTCTTTTCCTTCTTTCTTTTCCTCCTTCCCCTCTTCCATCTCTTCCTCTTCTTCCTCTTTTTTCTCTTCCCCTCTTCTCTCTGTCTCTCTCTCTCTGTCTTTCTCTGTCTCTGTTGGTCTCTGTCTCTGTCTGTCTGTCTCTGTCTGTCTCTGTCTCTGTCTCTGTGTCTGTCTGTCTGTCTGTCTGTCTGTCTGTCTGTCTGTCTTCTCTGAAACTGGAAGCCCAGCACTGGGGAAACTGACACAGGAGGATCACTAAGAGTCAAAACTGCATAGCATGACCCTGTATCAAAAGAATCAAAAGAGGGCAGGGGAGATAGCTCAGTAGAATAAGCGCTTCCCTGGCAAGTGCAAGGACCTGAGTTCAACCCCCAGTTCTGCAAAAACAAAAACAAAAGAATGAAAAGAAATAAAATTTTAAAGAGGAAACTGGGATTGTTTTTTGATTTTTGAGGCAGTCTTGCTGTATACATAGTTTTGGTAAGTCTTGAAGTCACTATATAGCCCAGGATAGCGGTTCCTGAACCCATAGAAGTCCTCCTGTCTCAGCTTCCTGAGTGCTAAGATTATAGATGTTTGCCACCACATCCAGCCCTTTTTGATGGTCTTATAAATGAGAGTGTCTTCTCAGTTTTATTTTAAGACAACATTCATTTTAATAGGCATACAGTTAATTTTTATAAACATTTTTTTAAAGTATTTGTAAACTGATGTTAGTTTTTTCTTAAATTTTAGATAGAAATCATCAGTAAAGCCAGCTGGGCTTGAGCTTTTCTTTGTGGTGGGGCTTTTTATGTTTTTTCCCCTAATTTAATGTTGCTATAAACTTTTGTACTCTTTGAATTTTTCCAATAGCATTTAGATCTTCCAGTAAGACATTAAAATTTTTGACAGAGCATGAGCTTTGGAAAATTGACAGACCTAGGTTCAAATTCCATCTCTGGAACTTCTGCTTGGATTGCTGAATCTTAGCCTCTCTCCCTGCAAAGAAGATAGTAATACAGGGTAAAAAGCTGATGGCCCAGGTTTGTCCTGCAGAGAGCATACAGCTTGGCCCCAGTACTGGGCACTGGGTACTATTCCTTTAGGTTTTTTGTTGTTGTTTGTTTGTTTGTTTCGAGACAGGGTCTCTCTACAGACTCCAGGCTGGCCTTGAACTCACCATAGCGTGGGCTAGTCTTGAATTTGTGGCAGTCTTCCTGCCTTAGGCTTCTGTGCTGGGATTACAGGTGTGTGCCACCATGTCTGGCCCTACTGAGCTTTTGAGGTGGCTCTGAAGACTTTTCTACCTCCACATGTTCGCAACAGGGTGCTGTGCCATTCCTGGTCTGTGCCACGTCTGGTACCACTGTCCTGGGGGCCTTTGACCCTCTGAATGCAATTGCTGATGTGTGCCAGCGCCACAAACTATGGCTACACGTGGACGTGAGTAGGACCTGGGCCTGGGGGGGAGGTGAGCTGTGCCTCCGGGGCCAAGACCTACGTTGTTCCTCCTGCTCTACAGGCTGCCTGGGGTGGGAGCGTCCTGCTGTCACAGACACACAGGCATCTCCTGGATGGGATCCAGAGGTGCTTATGGCTCCCTTCTGCCTACCTCCCACCCTTCAAATCCTTGATCCTCAGAGGAGTCATGGATTGTGGAGCTTGGGGTTGGGGTGGAGGAGAAGGGTGGTGGGTAGGGCAGGGAGAGGAAGTTGACAGGCTTGCAGGTCAGATAGGGAATTTTTCCCCATAGGGTGGCAAGGTGGGGTGGGCCAGGTGAGACTCACTGTTGGGTGTCTGAAAGAGAGAGAGGGCTGAGGCTTGGCAGCTGAGGAGGAGTCTCTGACCTAGTGTTGCTCTGCCTCACCAGGGCTGACTCCGTGGCCTGGAACCCCCACAAGCTCCTGGGTGCAGGTCTGCAGTGCTCTGTGCTTCTTCTTCAGGACACCTCGGTGGGTCTGCCCTGTCTCTGCCCAGCACTGCAAACCCCTCTCTCTGGATACCTGTCTTCTTCCCTGATTACCTCAGGGTGGTAGGCCATACTGTGTTCCCTTTGTCACCCTCCCTAACCCCTGCACCGGCTCCCTCACTCTCCTAGTGACCCATATTCTCCATGCAATGGAATAGGCTTCTCTGTTGAAGCCATGGCCCACACAGTGCTGGGCAGTTTGGGGAGAGCTGTGGATGTTGGGGGAAGACCTGGAGAGGGTTCAAGTCAGTGCTGCCTGGCTCGGCAGAAGGAAAGGGTGGGCTGGGCTAAGACCCTGGTGTGCCCAGGGTCTGACAGTTGATTGCTCCTCACACAGAACCTGTTCAAGCGCTGCCACGGGTCCCAGGCCAGCTACCTTTTCCAGCAGGACAAGTTCTATGATGTGGCTCTGGACACGGGGGACAAGGTGGTGCAGTGTGGCCGCCGGGTGGACTGTCTGAAGCTGTGGCTTCTGTGGAAAGCACAGGGCGGGCAAGGGCTGGAGCAGCGGGTTGACCGGGCCTTTGACCTTGCCCAGTAAGTGTGGGATCTCAGTTCCCCTCTCTCGGAGACACCCCTTGCCTTGCCTGCCCTCAGGGTTACCTTCCTCTGGGTGGGTTTTCATGTTTCTGTCTTGCATCCGTCTGTCATGTGTCCCCTCTGTTCCCAGGTACCTGGTGGAGGAAATCAAGAAGCGGAAAGGTTTTGAATTGGTCATGGAGGTACAACCACAGGCTCTTTTACATCCCCTGCCCAGGGCTGCCCCATACACCAAACCCAGATGGAGGAAGAGACACAGTGTGAAGAAAAGGGCCCTTTCTTAGCGACACCTTCCCTTGTCTTATTTCCCTCAGCCTGAGTTTGTCAACGTGTGCTTCTGGTTTGTGCCCCCCAGCCTTCGAGGAAAGCAGGACAGCCTGGATTACAGCCACAGGCTGTCTCAGGTAATTTCTCTCTCCCAGCCTTTTTGAGAGAGTGGTTCAGCATCTGATGCAGCTGGTGCTTTTCTGCCCCCTGCTGGCTGTCACTAGGATGGCAGGTCCTTGTATTGGGTTGGGGGCACTATCTGGCATGAGCTGGAAGAAAGCAATTTGTCCTTTATTGTGAGAACAGGATTGGGGGGCAAGGTGTTTCTTTGAAGAGAAGGGGGGGCAGGCTGGGGAGATGGCTTAGTGCAATAAGCGCTTGCCTGGCAAACACAAGGGTCTGAGTTCAAACCCTGGTTCCGCCAAAAAACCCCAAAAACCACAAGCAAGCGCAAGGGCCTGAGTTCAATTCTTGGTTCTGAAAAAAAAAAAAAAGAAAAGAAAAGAAAAGAGAGGGGGTGTTATAAAAGTCAGGAAATCACCAGGTGCAGCAGAGACTTCTGTGTTGGGAGTTGTCCTAGGATAGACAACTCTGTCACACTGGTACAGACCTGTGGCGTGCGTGCTCCAGCAGGCTGTTTATACCACTGAAAGCTCTAAAAGGTTCACCATCACTGGCCTAGGAGCTCATGCCCAGTGAAGAAATGGGAGGCAGAAAGATGAGGAAGAGCTTTGTTACTGATGCTGGGTACAAAAACCGTCTCTGTCCCCGGACACACTTTCTAGAGGTGGAGGCTTCATGTTTTGTTTGCTGAGGTTAGATTGGCACTGGGTACTGTGATGACCCGAAAGGAAATGTTGTCACTGTCGCGCAGATGTATGTAGAAAGCAAGCATTAGCACGTTTGCAGTACCGTGATTGCGTTCACAGGGAATTGGTACACGTCCATAGCACAGTTTAATTCTTTCTACTTCCCCTCCCCCTCTCCAAAGAGTTACCTGTTTGAAGCCAGTATGCTTATCTGTTTGAAGGCAGCTTTAGCAGTTACCTGCACAGATCAAAAATACTGCAGGAATTAAGAGAAGGGAGGTGTTTGAGATGATAAGGACTTGAAGTTAGCACTGAAGCAGTGTTGGGAGTCAGAAAAATGTTGGGGTTAGCAGAAGATGGCCCTTGCCTTGGCTTTTGGGGAACAGGAGAAATGAAGAATAAAGCAGAAGGCAGAGACTGTCAAGCAGATCGTATGTGTTATAGAAAATAAGCTGGGGCAAGGGGGGTTCAGCGGTGAGTGGCATCCCCAGAGGGCAGCGGGCCTGCAGGCAGGTGCACACGAATGGAGCCCCTCTTCCCCACCTGAGTTCAGGCTGCAGCCAGACTCTGCTTCTTCTCCCTCAGGTGGCCCCTGTGCTCAAGGAGCGCATGGTAAAGGAGGGCTCCATGATGATCGGCTACCAGCCCCATGGGGCCCGGGGCAACTTCTTCCGCATGATCGTGGCCAACCCCATGCTGACCCGTGCAGACATAGACTTCCTCCTGGACGAGCTGGAGAGGCTTGGTCAGGAGCTGTGAGCCTTCACCTCTTGTGGCTGCCTAGATGCTGTCCTTGCCCCTCCACGTCTCTGCGTTATCTCTTGTGCTCTCCAAAACAGCCTTTCTAGGGGCTGGTGAGATGGCTTAGTGGAATAAGTCCTCCCCTGGCAAGCGCAAAGGCCTGAGTTCAATCCCCGGTTCTGCAAAAAGCAGCCTTTCTAGGAAACAAAGTGACCTTAACTATGTTTATATGCTTTGACCCACTAACTCTTAATTATGCACTTGCTAGTAGGAGAATGTTTAAATATAGTATGTCCATATGATGGACTGTTACTCTTTCATCAAGATATTTACAAGAGAATTTTTATTAACACAGGAAAAATAATATAATGTTTTATGAAAAAAAGCTGAATATAAGACTACATACAGTGAAAATGGAAATATATTGAAAACATATAGAGAGGGACAGGTATGCTGGCACACAGCTGAACCCCCAGCCTCTGGAAGGCGGAGGCAGGAAGATTTGAGCAAGATCCTGTCTCCAGAAACTAGGAACTATGCCAGAATGTTAACAGTTTTCCCTGGGCTGGAATAATAGGCAATTTTAAAATCAACTCTGTATCTTTTGTGCTCCTCTCTTGTGGTATTTAAGGAATATGAACTACTTTGTAATAGGAAAATAATAAAGTTAAAATTTCTTGTATTTTACTTGGTATGTCTTGAAGTTCATTACTCTCAAACCAAATAGTGGAAAACTGTGTTTTTAAAAATATGGACAAAAATCAGGTAAGAGAGGATAAATATAGGTCTAATTTTCTTCCCCAAAAATCTTGAGTGGAAGAGAAAAGCCTAAAATATAGTCAATCTGAAACTAATCATACTTTGGTAACTGAAAATAAAAGGGCATGGATTGAATCACTGAACCAGAGCTCCATTCATGTACACGCTTTTCTTTTTTTCTCACTTACACTTTCGAAAAAATCCTCACTCCTTACCAAAAAAAGATTGTTCTGTAATTTAAACAACAGAAGACAAGTTAAAAACAAAAAACCAGCAACACCACCACCCTGACAACCAGATCACCGCTCTGTCCTTTGGGATTGCTACTGTTTTGCCTGAAAACATCCACTAAGGGCTGAGCAGAGCTCCCGTCTAATAGTCTCGAAGCTCTGGGTTCAACCTCTAGCACACTCCTCCCCAAGTCCCAAATAAAAATAACTCCTGTCCATGTAACACTTAAAATCTGAGCTGTTACTACTTCTCAGTTACTTCAGGGGAGAGAGGAATTTAGCTGCATAAGCTAAGAATAAGTGGCAAGTCTACCAGAACTTTTTGTTATTTCCAATCCCTAAAAATACCATTTGTGAAAACAGTAATGCGGTCATGTAAAAGTCATCCAAAATTACTTGAGGCAAACACAAGCTGTGCGGGTCACAGCAAAAGAACATCCAAATCTCGGGCGCTATTCTTCTGACCATTTCTTGGGGAGGGGCTTTTCCATCAATACATTGCTAGTAATTCCCCTATAAAGTTATTC